TATACTGTGGCTGCTATTAAGAAATTGTGAATTTTTCAGTGTCAGGTAAGGGTCTGCTCTTTATTGCTAGAAACCCAGTTCAGATTCCTAATGTAAACCTAAATTAAGCAACAAACTAAATGAGCTCTGAATTTTTATTTTATGATTGGTCTGTATGAAAGAGAATTGGTAGAATAAAGGCATATCTATACTGGAGTGAGGCCAGCAAAGGCACATTAGTGACTACAAGTTGGTGGCATGGGCTGGACAAGGAGAAGCTGAGAGGGTTGGGACCATGCAGCCTGGAGAGGTTGGATCTTGTCAATCTAAATAAGAATATGATGGGGAGTAGATAAAGAAGGCAGAGACAGAATCTTCTTTGTGTCACTCAGCAAAATTCATGAAGTTCCATTTAAACATAAGAAAAAGCATGTTCCTTGAAAAGTGACAAAACACTGGCATATGCTGCCCAGAGAGGTCATGAAGGCTCCATCCTTAGAGATGTTTAAAACCCAGCTGGACAGTGTTCTGGGCAACCCCTATGAGTGATCTGCTCTGAGGGGGCTGGACCAAATAATACCTGAGAAGCCCTTCAAGCCCAGCCGTGGGCTGTACTCTGCTGGAAGGGATTTTGGGCTCTGCCATTTACTCTCCACATTCCCTAGTCCCCAGGTTCTCACTCTTGCGCTGAAATACTCTACAGATCTGAAGGCTCTGAATTTTAAAGCATGCAATTCCTTAAAAACTTTGCTAGGGTGCTGATAGTATAGTATGGAAAAGGTTGGGAGGCTGTAATAGGTAGGTTGGCTGAGTTCCTTAATGAAAAACTAATCTGTTGCTTTCTTGAGACATAGAGCTTTTTATAGTTGTTTTCTGGCTACTATCACAAAAATGAATTATAGTAAAATATCTCTTTTCAGAAAGATGGATTTAAGTCCGAGTTGCAGATTATGGATCTCTGAGAGTAAGGGTCATAAAGTCTGGAGAATTAAGCTGAGCTCTCATTGACATAAAGTTTCTGTTACCTGTTCTTGACTCAAGTGTGTTTTAGAGGATTGAAGTGTTAGTTACAGACTACAAGAAAAGGAAATACACTGTCAACTGAATCAAAATTATATAGGCAAATACCAGGATAAAATGGTGTTAGAAAATACTTATTGGAAGAAAAGGAAGAGTCTAATCTAACAACGCTTGAATTACACAGGAACTGTAGAAGAAAAAAATGGACATGTATAATTGCATATGTCTTAATACTATTGGTTAAAATTTAGTCTGTATGCAGTAGTTTTGACATAAGAATAAATAAGATAATGCAGATATCGTGGATCAGAAAAAAAACTAAACATGGGGTTTGAGTGTGGGAAGGATTCAAGGCACTCAGTCACAGCACTGAATCCCTGTTACTCATCTTTGCAGTTTTGTTAAAAAATGAGAACAAAGGCAAAATCATCAGAAACATTCATTTTTTCCTAATTGCCACAGAATACTAGGGAGAACAGTAATGATAAAAACAAATCTGTATGGACAGGGGAGGAATGAATAAGCAGCTGATTTTACTTCTCAAAAATTTGTACTTTATTAGCAATGTGGAGGTAACACTTGTAAACGACCCTCCAAACTTTATGGAGTTTCTAAACTATTCCATCTGCAGATTACACAGATATTTTCTGAATGTAAAATACCTCTATTACTATTAGTAGTATACTGCTCTTAATAGTATACAATAGTGTATTTACCATTACTTGTAATAGTTGTAATAGTTTTAAAATCATACATTTTATTTTATTTAATACTTTATTTGTATAAAATACGGGACTTCTCCCATAAGATCAGTACAGATCAAGCGTACATTATAACAGTTATTCTATAAGTAGTCTAAATGATAGAAGCCCAATCTTAACCACTAGACGGAATAAAAAAGGATGGGTCTGTGTGTGCCAGATTCTGCCTTGGACACATGTGGGTGGTTTAATCAACGTGGCCCACACATCTCTGAAACAGAATTTGGACTTTAATTAGACTGTCTTTTCACTGCCCTTCAGCTTTTCCTGGGTATTGACAGATTCATTTTGTTTGGGTTTGAATCCACTCACCAGAAAAGGTTTTGTAAATGTGGATGGTTGTTCACGTGTACAACTTTGAGACTCTTCCCAGCTTCAGTTCTCTCCTTTCCCTCCTCCCCAGTTTTAGCAGAGCTGCTGAGCAAAGTCTAGAGAAAGTATGCATCTCAACCCCCTCTGCATCCCAACCAGGTGGGTTGCATCTGAGAGGGAACACCTGATGTGATATTTCACTGAGACAAATCTGGGCAAATTCAAACAAAAGTAGGGACAGAAGGAGAGCAATGACATCACTCTATAACTCCATAATGTTTTGCTTTTTGTGCATTCATTTATTTTGGTTACAAATGCATGCCTAAATGACTGCGCCAGCCTCTGGTCCACACAGATGTCAATTAGCCAAGGCCAGAGATGTCAATTAACAAATGACAGTAAGCTCAGGCTTTCTTCTGTGGTGCTCAGGAAAGCTCATTTGCGATCAGTGAGAAGTCATCTCCAGACTTCCCCAGCCCTTAAATCTGGCTGAGGGAAAGTTGGTCTTAGAATTGCCATTTAATTACTGAACCCCAGCTGTGATAATCTCCCAAGCAAGAGGCTTCCATAATCTGCCTGGAGCTGTACAGGGCATCTCAACTTTTTGGTTTGGAAGCCAAAAAACCTGCAGTCCCAACCAGTGCTGTTCACCAATCCCATCCTTGTAATGTGTTGATGAGATAATCAGCTGCAGTCAGTACTACAGCTTCCAGACAGAGCTCATTTAAGCAACAGGCACAGTGTCATTTTTTTCATTCTGTTGCTGATTCTTTGGAACTTTAGAAGGCTTTTTATATTTTATGCTTTTATATTTGTGTCTGTTTTACTGCTTATTTTATATCATAGCTCTAATTGAAGACACAGGACTTGACAGGCTGCAAAAAACAGTCTGGAAGCAATCAAACCAGTATTTTTATTTCTTTGGTTAACACTTCTATTGTTTGACTTCTATACCAATTTGGCAGTTATCCTACATGCTGTGTACATATATGCTAAAACGAAGTCTCTGCTGCTGAGAGCTTGTACTGTAAAGGCAACCTTTGACAAGTGCATTGAGCAAGGAGGGTTTTGCTGTCGAGCCCTGCTTCTGCAACAGAGGCCACGAACTTGCATTCTATAGAGAAGGCATTGAGAATTTGACAGCATATCTTTCACAAAGGGAGGAAGTATTCTTCTATTTCTAGCCCACAAATAATACCCGTTTCCTATGAACTAAAAAAACATGTTTACTTTCGATTTTACTTGAATCTTCCTTAGGAAAAACAAAACAACAGTACCACCACCACATGGCATGTGGTGGTACCACAATTACGTGGATTGGATTAATTGATTTCTGGACCACTCATGTCCAGGGAAGTGTCAACTTATCTACCCATTAAATTTCAATTCTAAAATTGTACTTAGGTCTCTTATCCTCTGGAAATGTAAATAGAGCCATGCGTAGCCAGGCTGTCACATGAGTGAGCAAGCTGAAGGTTTGGCATCCCAGCGAGTAACAGCCCAGTAGTTTGTGCAAAATAATCACTTCAGATACACCTTTCTTATAGACACCTTCATATAAATAACCGTCATCACCCATTGATAAATCTAGCTGATCTTTGCCAGTTTTCTTTGTTGTCTAGGGATTTGCTAGCACAAATGAAGCAAGCATTAAGAGGCATCGTCTGCCTCTCTTGGGAAGGAGTATGTCCTCAGATACTCAGTTAAGGATGAAGGATGCTGCTCAGGACAAAATGCAAAGTAGCATTATGGGGATCTGGCATTAATGCCTGAGTGCTGAGGGAGGGGTAGGTGAATTTTCTTTCTAGCTCACAGTGTGTCCAATTTCTTATAGTGCAGGATGTTGCATTTCACTCAGTGAAACAGCCTGTACTGGATAATAGCACTGTAAGATTCTGCTAGTGTTCTTGCAGATGCAGGTGTGAATCTGTGTCTGCTTTCCTAACCCTGAGTGCTGGGCTCAGAGCTTCAACATCTGCAGTCATGACTTCTCTAATCTGTTCTTGCAGGCAGATGATATAGCGTCTATTATTAATACTGTTTAATAAATCCTATTAAAATAACTTCTTTCAAGTTACTTATAATTTTGCCAAACTTAAGCCAATAAAACTGAAATTGTGGTTTATTTTGCTTGTAGCTAGTTCTCTCTTATCTAAGTCAAAAATGATTTCTGTTTTTGAAAATGAAAAAAAAAAAAAAAAAAACAAGAACTGTTTTGTCCATGTTACAAAATTATTGCAACTTTTTATTTTCACATCCATATGATGTTGTGGAGCAGGATTGCTTACTTTTGTGGCAGGGGTTGCCTTTTGTCCTCCTTGTGTAAACCTGACTGAATTTAGCAAATTTATTAAATTTATGGATCTTTGTGGAAAAAGACACCATTCTGAAGTACTCATCTGAAGCCTCACTGAGTTTGACAGCTGAAATTTTCAAGACTTTCCTGGCTGGACTCAAGGCTCTGTGGACTCCTGGATTTTTCCACTGCAAACCCCGTTTCCAGGCCCTGATGTATGGTCAGCCAGTGCTGCATGCGAAAGCAGGAAGCTCTTCCTTCTCCGGAGCTCCCGGTCAAGCAAGCGGCTTGACCATAGCACTGTCACTGGAAAATCCAGGAAGAAAACTCTCTCACTCCAATGAGGCATTAGAAGCATAGAGGAAAGAGGGGAAAGAAGGCAAAAGAAGAGAGGGACTAAACCGGAAAAGAAATCTGATGGCACCGAAGTGTGAGAGTGGACAGAAGTATTAACTAGAAGGTGAAAGGAAGAAGAGGGAAGCTGATTATGGGAGGGTTAGAAGTCAGTAAGAAAAACATGGACAGTGAACAGGGAGCTGCTTAGTTGCATGGAGGGCAGAAAGAGATGCTCTTACCTTGTCCCTGGCTGGATAGAATGCTGAGCAAAGGGAGGAGGGATGGAGTCGGATAAAGCAGAGTGCAGAAAAGTAGGAGACAGAAGATCCTGGGGAAAAGTACACAAAATTCAGAAGCAGAAGAAAGATTTACACTGTAGAGGCAAGGAGCTTTGTGCAGCATGGGTAGCTGGGAAGGGCACTGAGAAAGTGTGCATGAAGCTGGCATTTGGGGGACAGCGGAGGAGAACAGGGAGACTGCAGATAGATAGTGTGGTCCCCTTTAGGTAAGGAGAATGAGGGATTTGGGGAGCTACAGGGAGATTAGTGAGCCTGCCTAAGCAAGGAGAACAGACTATGTGAGGAGGGGGGGAAGGGACAGGGCAGCACTGAGAGATGAACCGTGAACATGGAAGATAACCTGTGCGTATAAACTGACCATAAGATGGGAAAGAGAAAGACCGTGAGGGTAGGGAACAGGGAGGCTTAGGGGAGAGGGGGGGAGGATGGGTAATAAAGAGCAGAGCTGAGAGTGCTTGGATATTCATACACACAGTTATGTTCTGGAGGAGAAAACATCAAGAAAAGCCTTTTGCACTTAAAACACAGAAAGTTTGTGGTTACAAGGGCTTGTTGCACAGCCCTTTGTTGTTCTTGGAAATGTCTTCTGCATAAATAAGCTGTTACCACTGTACAGAGTCATATTTATACTAGAAAATAAGTTATCTTTTTAAGCCATGAAACGCTTCAGGAAGAGAGCCCAAGCCTTGGATTTGCTTCAGTCTTCTGTAACAAAAGCAGCTCAGTGAGCTGAGGACCAGCCTACTTGTTAGTAGGGTTTTGTGACTGTTTCTCCTGGAGTTTATGGTAGTGTATGCTAGAAACTCACATGAGCAGCTTTTCCTTTTACAGACAGAGTCTGCATGGGCATCTGTAGATGAAAATGAGGTTCTGTGGGGCACCACCTTATGTGCAACTCTGTTCCTCCTCATCCTTTTGGCTCCTCACTGCATTATTCACAGCAGCAGATCCTGGTGGCAAGAACAGACAGTGCTTAGTAGGAAAAATAATGAGATATTTAATGTAGTTCTAGCCTTCTTTATTGTGTTGTAGCTGCAGTTACAAGGCTAAAACCAGCACCATATGACTATGCTACTTCAGGAATGGTCTATAAATGCAGTTAAAGAAGTTTCAGGATTTTATGTGATGCCTAAGTCACGTGAATAGAGGTTTATCACAATCAGTAGGAATACTGGATTTTCATATCACACATTTGCTGCCTAGGATGATTAGCAGGAAATTTAATTTGCACTAATTAGCCTTAGGGGAGCAAAAAATTAACATGATGGAAAAGTTTCAAGTTTTGCTATATACCATACCAAGACGGAAAAATTTGAGTTAAAGCTCGAGTCTTATGCTGATACACTGGACTTCATTTTCTCTAAATTGAATTAAAAGACTGCAGAAAATTAATACATGCATGGCCATGGTGGTGGGTTTTTTAGGAGCTTGAGTTGTAGAATAGTTGTTCAAAGTATTCATTGAACTGTCAGCCATATCCAGCGAACACAGTATATTTTAATCCTTAAAATTATGTTGATATCTAATATTGCAGTAAAAGCTTTAAGTCCTTATTTCCTACATTTGTGTATTTTCCTTACATAATGTGCATTATAACTGCACATTGAAATACTCCACATTGTAACACACCAAGCAGAAACAGCTTTCACAGAAACCACTTCTGTGAAAACACCATAGTTTTTAATTTACAACACCCACTTGCAAATACATTTTTAGGGTCAAGTGCCCTTGTTTGTATGCTGGCAAAATTCCTATGAAAATAAGTTCTTCAGAAATTACTCTGAAGGGTATAAGAGAGACATGAGTCACCTCATAGTCCTGGTAGATAAGTAAGAATTAGGAGCTAATCAACTCTAATTTTGCCTGTTGGTGGTGACTTTTCTGTCTCATTGTTCCAGAACATTTAGTTTAGATCTCTCAGTTTTTCCCTCTGAAGATGGAGGTAATTTTCATGTATCCACCTCTCAGAATTACTGTGGATTGATTAATGCATGCAAGGCAATGACTCATTCAGTATGGAAGTATTGGTCTATTATAAAGTAAAGTGTTCTTTCATACAAGCTTGTGGTTGCATCCAAATTTATCTGTAAAAAAAGCAGGTGGAAAGCATCGGTTGCATATGAGATAATTGCCTTTGATACCGGTTTTCTGCTAGTCTGTGCATCCAAAATGCATGCCATGCTCACTATTACTATTACTTACTTGGAGAACTCAGTACTTGAAGTCCATGCTCCTGAGGACTAAGAGTGGATATAAGCTACCACAGACCTTCCAGCCTGTGGCACAAATACACTCAGTCTAAAGAGAGATTTCAGGTAGACTCTTTGTTGGCAATCGTATGTTGTATAACATACACTGTATTGCATTCACAGGTTTTTCTTCACTCTCCAGACTGATAGCCATAGCTGTCCTATGCAGTCAACGCAGTCAACAGTGTGTGTGCGGCTGTATATACATACACATGTGCACACATGCAAACATATTTGTGTCCACAACTACTCTATATAAATGCACTTTGCCTTTTTGAATGTAAAAATGCATTTCTGTAAGTGCTCAGCACTTGTCTTTATACATTTATGAGTAATATCCAACTTTCAGTCATAATTGGCACCATGTGGCTCTCTGTATGATAATTACTGGGACAAAAAACTTGCAGATGGTTTCAAAAGTGACTCTAACTCACCATCAGTGTAAAGAGAGTGAATAAGATGAGATCACTCTCTCTGAATATCAGAATAAGCTGTGCTCATTGATTTCACTGGAAGCAGGCACAACTCATTTCTACAGCAGACAGAAAACATGTATTATATTACTTAAATGAAAGTTTGATTTCATTGCACTTAAATTTATTCATGTTCTGTTAGCAAATAGTTGAAGATTTTATAACCTAGATCATTTGCTGAATTCTGCTTTGTATTTTCCTCACAGCAATTGGAAGGACCCTCATTCCTCGTTATTTTAGCACTGTCTTTGAAGGAGGTGTAACAGACCTGTATTACATTCTCAAGCACTCAAAAGAGTCATACCACAACTCATCCATCACAGTGGACTGTGATCAATGCACCATGGTCACTCAGCATGGAAAACCCATGTTTACCAAGGTAACAGGGAAGACTCAAAAAAGCATGTTGTTTGTTTTTGTTTTGTTTTCTTTCTTTCTGGTGTGTATAAGAGTGAAAAATATTGGCTGTTGCATTTTTCTGGTAGACTGAGATTATTTCTAATACTGAAAACTCTTGAATCCCTTTAATTACTATTTTCTGTATTCATTACATGACTGGAAAATTTTGTGGGCATCTTCTGCAATTCTCCCAGAAAGATTGCAAGAGAAGCACATAATGCCAGGTTTCTGGAACTAGCAGATGTACATGAATTAAAAGCAACCTGCCCATCTCCTTTTCTCTTGGCTCAATTTTAAAGCAACAGTGAGATTTTACATTGCTTGGTGCCTACCATTTTGGGTGGCTCACTTTACACTTGATACTCAGTCTAAGGACTGTAAATCTCTGGGAAAAAGGTGATTTAGTACAGTAGGATGCTGGTCCAAAGGGCAGGGAAGTCAGTGGAAGGTCTCAATTGATTTGAGCATGGTCTGCGTCAGGCAGTTAGTACATATTGAATTTATTTGCAACTGATAGTGAACTGTGGAATATAGTGAATTATATTATCTTCATGCATTGGCTACTTCAATTCTTTAATTAAAGTGAGTGTTGTATATTTATAAAAACAGTACCAAAAAAATTGGAAGTCCAAGTCAAAATGAAAATCCTACCTTAAAAACCAGTAAACTGATTCTGAAAATGGAAAGGCACACTTCATAATTTGACAGAAAATGTTTCTTTTGCATCTTGTACCTGTTCATTTCTGTGAACATCAATCTTCACATGGAAAAAAAGTATAAAAGAAAAGGTGCATCAGGAGATAATCCACCCATATTGCCCACATCCTACAAAACTGGGGAGGTTTTTGAGTTTAACAAAGCACTGATGTTGACAACATCATGCGTAGAGGCTGCGTGGCACATGTTGTTTTAGCATTTTGTGTCTTCTCTGACAATTTAATTCCTCCTGGTGTGGGACTTAAAGGATAGGGAGAAGAAGCCACCAGTGTGCAGAGTGCTGGTGAGCTGGGAGGTGTGTATTTTATGGCATATTTGTTCCAGCTGTCCCATTCCAGCCCCCTGTGGTTTACACAGACGCAAACATGGAGATACTCCTAGATGGCACCTCTTTCTTCCCAAGCACTGAGGTAGTAGTTGTCATGGTTGCCACATGTAGAAAACATGGAGAGGTGCAGGGAGGCTGCTTTTTTTGTGGAGCTGCTTTTAAAGAATGGGTGGGTTTTTTTTTTGTAATGACTGTATGTTAAAATGGCTGGATAAGTAATACTGTTGAAATAGAAGACAGCATATAGTGGAATAGAGGAGAAAAGAATACATTGCTCTCAGAAATAAGTTAGAGCCAAATGCTGTCTCAGCTGTGTATGTGTAACTTCTAGCAGAGATAGTGAGGTCATGGATCTTGAACATAAAGGTAGGCTCTAACTCCCACAGCATTGCTGGAAGAACAGAACTCTCGTAAGCAGCGCTCCAGCTGACTGAGTAGCTCCTCACATGATGTCTGAATTTGACCCAGTGAAAGGGTTTTTTTAGTGCAAAAATACAAATAAGCTATTCTTGTTAATAGCTATTTCAGTTTCACAAACAAATTGTAAGCTACAAATTCACTAGCATCTAATATAATGGGCTGGAACAGTTCTCATCACATATTGAATCAGGAATCCGCAGCTGCATTTTATTCATTTCAACATTTTCTCAGTTAGAGCTACTCACTGCATACTGCAATATTGGATGAATATATAATACGGCATTTCCAATTTTTTTCAAACAAATGTGGCTCGAACATGCCTACCAGTGAGGATACAAATAGTTCAGCTTGTCTTTAGAAGGCTGTTGTCTACGTTAAGTAAGGCACACGCTTAAGAACAGACTTTGTCAAGTTATAAATGAATACAATTCATGGCATGAATTAGAGTGGCAAAGGAGAGGCCAAAGCCCTGATTACCATGTTCATTGTTTCTCCAAGCAAAGGAAAGAATTATGACTATTTCCAATACTCTGATTTTGAGTGTTTTCCCAATTTCATGTATAGCCACACTGGTTTTCTGCAGTTTGTGGTTTTTATAGTTCCTGATAGCTGTCGCCAAGGTTGAGCTTTGCTTCCACTCTGAGCACCCACTCAGGAGCACCCACTGGTGGGCAGGCCTTCTCTTGTGCTCCATCAAACTGATTTACAAGCATGGAATCAAACACTCCCAGTGATTTTGGCCCTCCAGCACATTCCAGATTTGTAAAAGCATCAGATTTCTTTTAAAGCCAGGTTTGAGAGATGGCCATTAACAGAAGGGGGAAGAGTTTTAAAAGATACGCTGTGTCACTACTGTAAGAATCCAAGTGTTATGGAACAGGAATGAATTTATTTATTATAGATGCAGGCAGTTGAATTTCCTACAGTTAATAAGTGCAGCGAAGGGGTTAAAAAGCTATTGGTTAGTTTGAGAAACGTTCTTTTTTAGTTTTTTCCTGGCCTAGTCTAGAGCAACCACGTGATATGCTGAATGCCTGCCAGCCTCTTTCTTGTTGATCCTCCGGAGACCATCTGTGCTGGGGGCATTGATTAGAGTGTGTCTGCTGGGATTACATCTTTTCTGTTGCCATGCCAACTAATCAGCTGATTTTGGTTACCACAGAAACAAAATGTCAGAGCTCACAGTACGGTAACATGAATTCAGCACAACAGAAAATGTTTTCTTAATTGGAGACCCTTTTGATTTTTTGGATTCTATGTAAAAGGTAGCATTTAAAAAAAAAAAAAAAAGCCCATTTAAAATAAGAACTGCACCAATTTTATTGATTAAAAGCAGTGTGTAAAATTCTGCTCCACAAAAGGAA